TACTCAGGTCCCTTCTGACCCTAGAAACTATGAAACTAGTGCTAGCGAATGGAGAAAATTTGAACATTTTTCAAAGAACTAGGAGGGAGTCAGAAGTAAATTACTGCCCCACAGTTCTCATGTAGGTTATAGACAGACAAGACAAAAATATTTGCAAAGAAAAGAACTACTAATGGAGATGTTGTCACATTCCGTTACACACAAAGACAGGAAAAATGGGACTGGTTATTTACCTCATCACCAGGTTTGAAATAGGACACACTGAGTCCACATTCCATAACTACACCAGAGACATCACGACCAAGTATTAGTGGGAACTCATCTCCCGTGGTTTTGATTTTCAAAGGATCCCGTCTTATATTTAAAGCAGCTGCTCCATAACCACCTATGAAATATAGATTTAACAAAGATATAATCTGTTCAGATATTAACTGAACAAATCAGATTAGAAAGCAAGTTGTTTAGTCTTTACATAATGCAAAACCAAAAAAATATTTTAAACAGTTCTAAAAATGTTCTCGTGTCTGTAGTAGCAGAAACAAGCAAAACAATCTGAATATATATTTTTGAAAAGTTCACATAAATTAGTATCAAACTTAACTTTTGAATACTTCTTTTGTCCTGTCTGGTGCACAGTGGGTATATCTACATGTGCTTTACTGTGGAGATGGCTAATTAGCTCCATATTAAAAGTGTCACCATCTACATATGCGCCCATATTAGGGTGCAGTAAATTAATTAACTCTGCTGTAGGTTAGTAATGTCTGGAACAAGCACTATTATACAGTGGAGTAATTTATACCACCACAATGCACATGTAGACAGTGAGCAGGGCTGGCTGAGGCACAAAGGTGCTATAGAGCAGGGATTGCCAGCTGGCTAGCCCTGCACTGTAGCACCCTCATGCCCCAGCCAACCCCTCCACCACCTGGAGCCTGGAACTGATCCCTCCGGGCCTCAGACTAGTTTGGGGCTGCTCCACCATTGCTCAGTGTGCACCTAGGAAATATAAACTCCAGCATAAACTGTGCCATTGTACATTTCTTCACCCTAATTGCACATGTAGATGCACCTGGTATGTATAAAACCAGAAAAGTTCATAAAACTTAGCAATTTACAATATGGTTATAGACACTACATTAACAGATCTTCTTGCTCCATGACAATAACAATGAACAATTTGACATGAGACAAAAATAACACTTCATTTTCTCCACATTTTTCTATTAATATTCTGTAGTTAAAGATTCAGGAGATCTGTACTCTACTTTCCTCCTGTCCATGGGGAGGGAATATTACATAGTCATGCACTGGTTAATGCATGAGATTATGCAAATCACTTGTGACCTTAACCTGAGAATGACACAGGACTTTCAAATCTGTGAAGGACAAAAATCAGTTTCTAGTACATTACCTTTACTAAAATGGAGCTATGATTGCTCATTGCTTATTAAATGGAGATGTAAATGAGCTGCCACTTTTGCAATCACACGCTCAGCACAAAACCATAATCCTGCACTGTGGACTAACCATTTTGTATTGGTCCAACAATTTCTCAGAAGCACTCCTCCTGAAACATTCAGGAGGCATCTATGTGAAAATGTTAAAAATTATCAGTCACAGAAAAAGAGGGAATCACCATCTTTCTAATGCAGTATTATAAAGAAGCTTAAAGGAACAAGCCTAAATGTAAAACATTATAGCATGGCTCTTACTGATAATCCTTGATTTTCTCAAGATGACAGGATTTCCTAATTTATCCTTCTACAGTTAAACACCTGTTGATATACAGCTCAATCCCACAGCTGTTGATGCCACAGATAAGGAAGTCAGTGAAACTACTCAGACCGTAGCTGCTGCAAAACTGGGCACCATCACAATTTATTTGCAGTGGTTCCGAATAGCTTTAGCCTCCCACCCCCTTCCCCCACAACTATAAACCTAGAACTTAGTCTCCCAATGAGCTTCATGTAGAAAGACCCCTAATCCACCCAGAGTCCTCCTGAATTTTGCATACTGGAGGCTGTGCCAACATGAAGCTCCTGTGACTCCTAACAAGTGATAACATGCAAATAATCGTTTTATAATGTTTTATTTGCTTGTTGTTTAAATAAAGAGAAAGCTCCTCCAATTCCCCTCTCCAGACACCATGGTCAACATCTGAAATGCGCAAGTCACTTTTCCCTGTGAATAACCTGGGATTTGGAAGTTTTGTGTTTGTTTATTTATTGGCATTTCTGAACCTGGCTTTGAAGCCAACAGTAGCTAAACTGTTAAATATGCCAGAGGCTGCAAATGAGAGGAACAGAGGTTATGTTATACCTAAAGTTAAAACCCTGGTTATACCCAGTTCACTCTTCCTTTCAGCCTCTACTCTGTGCCTCTGTGTAACATAGGCCTATTTGTTCCCTTGCAGGATTGCACGCCTTGGCCAGGGGCGGGCAAAATCTAGCCCTCTAGGTAATTTAATCTGGCCCAGGGGCACCCACCTATTAATTGCAACTCGCCCATCCCACGCATCTCACCCCAATCTGGTGTGTGGAGCGGCCTGGCCCACCCAGCAAACAGCTTCTGGGTGGGGCTGCAGCAACCACAGGGAGATCTGCTCAGCTTCCCTGGCCTCCAGCAGTTTCTACTTTTCTTCCTGCTGCAGCACTCACTCCAGGAAGCAGCAAGGGTAAGAAGGGGAGCTGCAGCTGGGCAAGGGTGGGGAGCATGGGGCTGGTGGGAGCCCACACCCAGGGGGGCAGCAGGAGCCTGGAGCTGTGATGGGCAGGGTCTGCGTGTGTGGGGGGGATCCCCCGCATACTTCCCCCCCATGGTGCACAGCCCCTGCCAGTGGCAGCAGAAGCAGCAGCAGCAGATGGGGCCCTGAGGATGCTCATGGCACTGCCACCCGGCAGCGTGTGGCTCCGGCCAGTGCTACATACGACAGCAATGAGTGCAGCCAGGCCAGCCCACCTCTATTGCACGGAGCTCCATGTTATGCACCCAAAGCTCCCAGCACCTGTGCACCACTGGGGGAAGTCCTGCATGATGGAGCCGGCTGCCTTCACTGCACCCTGCCATCACAGAAGCAGAGTGTGGCACTCCCCATCCATTTCTGGTGGAGTCCTGGCAGCTGCACATGGGGAAGGGAGCTGGCTCCATTGCACAGGACTTCCCCCAGTGGTGCATGGATGCCAGGAGCTGCACATGTGCTGTGAAGAGCTCCGCACGATAGAAGTGGGCTGGGCAGGCTGCACTCCTTCGACCGTGCACTGTGCTAACCAGAGCTGTGCACTGCTGGGCAGCAGTGCCACGAGCACCCCCACCTGCTGCTGCTGCAGTCAGCAGGGGCTGTGTGCTATGGGGCATACGGGGGCAGGAAGTGTGTGGTGGTCCCCATACCTCCCCACCCTTACTCACACCCCACAAACCCACACACTGCCCCCACAACCCCAATATACACAGCCACACCCCCTCAGAAACCACACACACACACACACACACACACCTCTACCCCAATCACACCCCACACACTCACCCATGCACAAAATACAAGAGTAAGGCTTTATTTTTGACGTATTTTGCAGTCACCTCTATGTACACACTACACAAATCATGACAAAAATAATTTTTTGTAATAAAAACAAATCATACTAAGTCAAATACCTACGATAACATTTTTTTTTCTGGTTCAAATGGCATCCCCACCCACCAAAAGGAGTACTTTCAGGGGCTAGGGGAGGGGCTTCTAGTGGCAAAGAACAAAGGTTAAGGGTGGGACTTCCAGTCCCAAGATGGTGACCAGGAAGCAGGGCACCTGTGAAAGGGCAGGGCTACTCTTGCAGCCCTCCACAAACTTACCAAAACTCATTAAGTGGCCCTCCAGCTGAAATAATTGCCCTTCCCTGGCCTAGGCCCATCAGGTAAACTATTAGCCTCCCTTAGACAGGGAGGCTACTGACAAAGCAACAACTGAGTACTTGAGACAACTGATAACAAAACAGGGACTGAAGCCAAAGGTTAATAACTAGTGTGTCCAGGGGGACACCAAGCAGACCATACCAGGCCACAGCACCCACTCCTCGAATGAGTACAAGGAGCAAGTGAACACCGTCCAGCGATACTCTGCCCGGCGGCAGGAACCAAGTAGAACAAGGAAAGTGGTCCCACAGTCCCCGGGGACTCTACTGGCCAGAGCCCAGGAGTATATAGCCAGCTTAGCCAAGCCCAGGAGGAGGTTGACCAGGAGGTCCCAGGTCTTGCTGGGGCCATGGCCAAGGAGTGCTGTGACAGGCCTATTTGTCACCCTTTTAAATCATGTGGGCCCAGCCCACCAAGTTTCTTGTTAGCCTCCTTCAGGCACAGAGGCTACAGAAAAAGGGGACAACAGATTTCTTGGGACAAATAATAAAAAGGAAAACAACACAGGGATAGAAAGCTGATCAGAGGTTCAAAATAAGAGTGTCAAGAGGGGACACTGAGCAGAGTACACTGGACAGCGCCCACTCGCCCTCAGACGAGTCCAAGGAGCCAGCAGACACAGCCCAGTGATGCTCTGCTTGGAGACAGGAGTGAAGTAGGGTGAGGAAAAGAGCCCCATCATCCCTGGGGACCCTCCTGGCCAAAGCCTCCTTCCTGGTGAGGTACACGACAAATTTGGCCAGGGCCAGGAGGAGGTCCTGGGCATTGGTGGGGCCATGGATGGGGAGTGCTGTGTGACAGGATACTGGGCGAGCTGGACCTATTGCCTGACCCAGTCAATGGCAATTCTTATATTCTTACTATACAAAAAGCAATTACATGTCTTGGCTGAACAGCCTTGAATGCTGTTCACAGCGACTACTGAGGGTCCCAGGCAACAAGAAATGAGGGAGAAATGAGGGACAAGAAACAGTAGAGTTTGACAGTTTGGGGACTCAGCCACACAAGACAACTAAGAGGGAGTTAGGAATGGTCAGCGTTTCCTAGTAGAGCTCAGTATTCTGCTGGTGATCCATGAGAACCAGCCTGGAAATGCAGTTAAAAATTGAGCTGCAAATGAATCCCACTGTGATTTGAGCTTGACTCAGGCAGCAATGACATAAGTTGACCATGGTCTATAGATAGTGATAAGGTGCACTAACATAACACAAGGAAATGAAAAAGGATTGGTGTAGCTCCAAAGCATAACCGAATATGGAAAACCCTGTGTAAAGTATACAATCGTGCTTAAACTGTGCAAGCTCCAAAGCTCAGTGAAAAAGAGTAACCAAATTAGTGATGGTCTCCAAGGGAGCAGAAAAGCCTGGGCAGCGGACCCGTTTTCCCTTGAATCCAAGGCTACATAAGCACTGTCCTTATTAATGCAAACAAGTCTTTGCTACCGTGTATCCTAATACAGTTCCAAGTTGTGAACGGAATAGTCTCACTGGTCATCAGTCTCGCTGTCAATCCCAGTTAAAACTGGGGGTGACATCCCCAAACCTCACACAATTTCTGGAAATAAGTTCTTCTAGGGGGCCTTCCCACAATGCACACAAAGCAGCATCTTTCAAAACAGTCCCAATTAAACAGTCTCTCAGAGCCGGAAGCGTGCCTAATGCGGCCACCTGCCCCCAGGAGCTCACAACAAAATGACTTAAGCAGTTACAAGGGCTCTGAAACCGCCTTCAGGCAGTCAATGGCACAAACACGCCGCCATCCCGACCCCAACCGAACCTCTGCTTACTTCTCATGTTAACATCGATAGGATTGAGGCTGGCGGCGTGGACACGAATGACGACTTCGCTGGGGAGGCGGATGAAGGGAAGCAGTATGTTATTGGCCAACTGCAGCACATTGTTCTGTCCATAGCGGTTGATCACCCAGGCTGGCATGACCACCTGCCTTGGGCACGACAGGCTGAGCCATCGGGCGCAGCCAGGGCCCAGGAGCAGGCAGGCAGGCGCTGCCCTGCACAGCAGAGGCCCAGGGGGCAGCATTGTGGGCCCTGCACCTGCGTGTGGCAGGAGGAGGGGTGGGTTGTGAACTGTGCTAGGGCTGCTCAGGGAAGCCTGCAAAAAAAAAAAAAAAAAAAAAAAAAAAA